GGTGAAAGTGTTTCTTCTGCTTTGTCATTGACAGATCAATGCTTCCCCTTCTGAATTTCACCCTCATCCTTCGTTTATTTAGGAGATTCTGCCCCACCCATCATCAAAAAGTACATCCCGGAAAGTTCTTTCCTTTCTTTCCTCCAAAATGATTTTCATGTCATTGCATCGGGGAGGAACTTTGTGACATCATGACCTGGAACAAAATTTCCCAGGAAATTGTCTGGCATGATATTTTTTTTTAAAAATCCCCTTGAGTAAAGAAAAGTCCTGAGAAACAGTTTAATTCCCATTGTGCACGGCTGGATTGACTTGAAGAGTCAATTGCATGGGTCCTTGTCCCAGGGAAATTACTACTAAATATAAACAGAGGAGGTGGGCGTAAAACGAGATGTGTGTGAAAAGCAGGGACAACTTACTTAAAATCCATTTCAGTTGGAGACTAAAGAGTTAAAGTCAAAGGTTTATTTAAGATGTTGAAGGAAAATGCCTAACATTTCAAGTAATTTCCAGAGGGGCAGACATCTTAATGTGTTACAGCAAAACCAATAATGGGTGTTGTGGCAACACTGTCCTTTTCACCACTGGGCCTTTCTGCATTTCAGTTTCTTCTGACAACACGGTTTCCATCTTCCCATCCCTACCCCAGCATGCATATATCGATCAACCAATTTGAGGTTAACCCACTGTGCATCTGATGAACAGGGCACTGTGTGCAAAAGCTTATGCCTGAATGAATTCCTTAGTGCCACAAGACTCTTCCTTGTTGCTGTTGTTTAATATTTTAGTCCTCCAACCATAATCTTGTGACAACCTAGTTGGGGAGGAGGTGGTGAATTTGCCCAAGACTGTTCTGTGACCCTCACAGATGAGCGAGGATTTGAACCTGGGTTTCCCATAAACCTCCCATCTCATATCCCAGTTTTCCACATCTAAACTTAACACACTCCTCCCACTTGCAAGGAAGTGTGTGAACAATGTTGTGACCCATTTTTCTGAGGATGTATGTGGCAGGAGGAGTGGCTGCTTTCTTCTAGAAAAAAATACGCAATGGTCCATTCCACACAAGTAAGAAGTAAGAAGTGGGATTCACCCAGATTAACCCGCACAGAGTAATTTATGTGTTGGCTTTTTCATCCAGTGTTACATTGGGATATTTTCACTTTAGAGCTGTTGTGTCAAAGCATTTGTGGCAACCCCTGTTGTGTGAAAGGCAATCTAGACATAAGCACAGGGATTCTTAGGGCATTAAATGTTTTGGTGCCCAAATGTTAAGTCTTGGTTGAAAATAGCACTAGCATAATACAAAGTGCTGTTCAGGTGTTGGGACAAAGCAAGAGCCATGTGCTCTGGGCTTTGTTGCTGTGAGCCAGTGTAGGGCAGTACATTGAGCAGAAGCAAGCAACCCAGATGTTTAGTACTCTGATTCCACCAGCCCCATCATCATAGCCAATGCTCAGGGTTGATGGGAGATACAAGTCTGGAGGACCCCAGGTCACCAACCTCAGAGATATTGTTGGATTTGTACAGGAGAAACACAGACTTAAATCCCTGTTCAACCATAAAACTCATTAGATGGCTATGTGAATTAGTTGCTACGTGATGGTTTGGTCCTGTCTCACATGTACTGTAGGTGTTGGATGGGTGAATAGATCTAATGTTTCTGACCATAAGGTCTGCCTTATGACCAATGCCACTAGGCAAGGTTGGGCAACATATGGCCTTCTGATGGCTTGGTCTACCAAGTCCTTCAGCCCTAGCCAGCATACCTGATGAGGAAGGCAGTTGTAGGCCAGAACCCCCTTCATGGATCACTGCCTTGTCGTGCTTGTGTAGCTCAATGAAGCTATGAGCTATGCCGTGCAGGGCCACCCAAGACGGACAGGTCATAGCAGAGAGCTCTGACAAAACGTGATCCACTCCAGTATCTTTGCCATGAAAACCCCATGGACAGTACCAAAAGGCAAAAAGATATGACTCCGGAAGATGAGCCCCTCAGGTCGGAAGGTGTCCAATATGCTGCTGGGGAAGAGCGGAGGGCTAGTACTAGTAGCGCCAGAAAGAATGAAGCAACTGGGTCAAAGCCGAAAGGACACTCGGTTGCAGATGTATCTGGTGGTGAAAGGAAAGTCCGATGCTGCAAAGATCTATACTCCATAGGAACCTGGAATGTAAGATCCATGAATCAAGGCAAGCTGGACATGGTCAAATGAGATGACAAGACTGAACATCGACATCTTAGGAATCAGTGAACTAAAATGGACAGGAATGGGTGAATTTAATTCAGATGACCACTGCGGGCAAGAATCCCTCAGAAGAAATGGAGTACCCTTCATAGTCAATAAAAGAGTAGGAAAAGCAGTACTGGGATACAGTCTCCAAAATGACAGAATGATCTCGGTTCGAACCCAAGGCAAACCATTCAACATCACAATAGTCCAAGTCTATGCCCCAACCACCGGTGCTGAAGAGGTTGAAGTTGACCGGTTTTATGAAGGCCTACAACGCCTTCTAGAATTAACACCAAAAAATGATGTCCTTATCATCATGGGGGATTGGAATGCTAAAGCAGGAAGCCAAAAGATAACTGGAATAACAGGCAAGTTTGGCCTTGGAGTACAAAATGAAGCAGGGCACAGGCTGGTAGAATTTTGTCAAGAGAATACGATGGTCATAGCAAACACTCTTTTCCAACAACCCAAGAGACGACTCTACGCATGGACATCACCAGACAGGCAACACAGAAATCAGATTGACTATGTGCTCTGCAGCCAAAGATGGAGAAGCTCTATACAGTCAGTAAAAACTAGACCAGGAGCTGACTTGTGGCTCAGATCATGAGCTTCTTATGGCAAAATTTAGGCTTAAATTGAAGAAAGTAGGGAAAAGCACTAGGCCACTCAGGTAAGACCTAAATCATATCCCTGATGAATATACAGTAGAGGTGACAAATAGTTTTAAGCAAATTTGGAAAACCCTGCAGTGGCCACAGGATTGGAAAAGGTCAGTTTACATTCTGATCCCAAAGAAGGGCAATGCCAAAGAATGTTCAAACCACCGCACCATTGTACTCATTTCACATGCTACCAAAGTGATACTCAAAATCCTACAAGCTAGGCTCCAGCAGTATGTGGACCGAGAACTACCAGAAGTACAGGCAGGATTTCGAAGAGGGAGAGGAACTAGAGATCTAATTGCCAACATACACTGTATCATGGAGAAAGCTAGGGAGTTCCAGAAAAACATCTACTTCTGCTTCATTGACTATGCTAAAGCCTTTGATTGTGTGGATCACAACAAATTGTGGCAAGTTCTTAAAGAGATGGGAGTACCAGACTATCTTATTTGTCTCTTGAGAAACCTGTATGTGGGTCAAGAAACAACAGTGAGAACTGGACACAGAACCACCGATTGGTTCAAAATTGAGAAATTAGTTCGACAAGGCTGTATACTGTCACCCTGCCTATGTAACTTATATGCAGAGCACATCATGAGAAAGGTGGGGCTAGATGAATCACCAGCTGGAATTAAGATTGCTGGGAGAAATATCAACAACTTCAGATATGCAGATGATACCACTCTCATGGCAGAAAGTGAAGAGGAACTAAAGAGCCTCTTGATGCGGGTGAAGGAGGAGAGTGCAAAAGTTGGCTTGAAACTCAACATTAAGAAAACTAAGATCATGACATCCGGCCCTATTATTTCCTGGCAAATAGACGGGGAAGAAATGGAGGCAGAGACAGATTTTATTTTCCTGGGCTCCAAGATCACCGCAGACGGGGACTGCAGCCAAGAAGTTAAAAGATGCTTGCTCCTGGGGAGGAAAGCTATGGCAAATCTAGATAGCATACTAAAAAGCAGAGACATCACCCTGCCAACAAAAGTGTGTATAGTCAAGGCTATGGTTTTCCCAGTTGCAATGTATGGCTGTGAAAGCTGGACCATAAGGAAGGCTGAGCGCCAAAGGATTGAGGCCCTTGAATTGTGGTGCTGGAAGAGACTCCTGCAAGTCCCTTGGACTGGCCAGTCCTAGAGGGGATCAACCCTGACTGCTCTTTCGAAGGCCAGATCCTGAAGATGAAACTCAAATACTTTGGCCACCTAATGAGAAGGAAGGACTCCCTGGAGAGGAGCCTAATGCTGGGAACAATATATGGCAAAAGAAGAAGGGAACGGCAAAGAATGAGGTGGCTAGATAGAGTCACTGAAGCAGTCGGCATGAGCTTAAGTGGACTCCTAGGGATGGTGAGGACAGGAAGGCCTGGAGGAATGTTGTCCATGGGGTCGTGATTGGTCGGACATGACTTCGCGACTAACAACAACAAGGCCAGAACCTCTTAAGGGTCATAAGTTGCCCGCAACACCTCCTCATTCTTTGGTGTAGATCCCTAAAAGTACTTTATATTTTAATGGTCTCTGGCAAAGAGCAGGCCTTGCTCAATACTTCAAAGAATGGCTCCCAGGCAAGCTACACTGTCATGGGCAGAAGAGACCAATGGTCTGCACAGAATGCGAGGCACCTCCAGGGCATCTTAGGAAACAGCCTTCCCCAGCCTGGTGCCTGTGCATGTTTTGGACTACAGTTCCCAGCAACTCTCATCAATTGCCATGCCGATGGGGCTGATGGGAGTTGTATTCTGCAGCTTTTGGGAAAGGCCGGCCTAATCCGTCTCCCTGGGGTGGTATAAACTGAAGCTGCAATCCTCCATGTATTTACGAGAGGCAAGCTGTATTAAATTCAATAGGATTTCCCACTGAGTAAGGTGGTTATGATTTCAGGGTCGGTGAACTTGGAAAAACAGAAGAGAGGTTGGGAAAGATGATTTCCTGGAGTCACGGAAGCGCCGCAAGCTCCTTGCTTGCTGGGGCTTGGCCCCCCTGCGGGGAGTGTTGCGCCCGGTTGCAGCATCGGAAGCTCCTTTGCCACAGCTATAAATATGATGCTGCTTCCCCGTCGGCCAAGCCGTGGCCTAACCCGCCTCCTCCTTTTCCATTCGCAGTTTCTGATTTGCAGCGCAGCTGAACTCCCACATCCGGCTCGTCCTCGCTCTCAGCCTCTCCGATGGGCTCGCCAGGTAAGGGGCCGCTTGTGCATTGGCGCGCGTGGGGGGGGGTGGCGGTCTCCTTTCTCTCCCCACTGTCATTTCTTCCCTGCCCCCCTCTTCTTATCCCCTCTGCTTGGCCTGTTCTCGTAGAATTTTTGCCCTCCGGGGACCGAATTCTTTGCAGGTAAGTGCAGTACTGAGTCGATCAGAGCATAATAAACCCTTCTTATTCTGTCCTTTGCCTTCGGGGCCCACCTCATTCTAATGGTCAGGGCCTGGATGCAAAGACAGCGCTTCCCCCTGCTCCCACCCCACCGTGGCAGGGGGTCCTTTTGGTGGTGGTAGTGCTACAGAGCTGCTGGTGCCCCCCCCCCAAGGCCAGACACCTGGGCACTTCTCCTGCATGGTGTGGCACTGCATGGCACCTGAGTCCTTTTTATATGGGGCAGTCTGTTCTTGCACACACTTCTGGCCCTGCTGCCTCAGCTATCTATGCCACTGCTTGACTCTTAATTGGAGCAGGAAGGCAAAATCTTCATGGATCAGTTCTTGTGAAACTGGATTTCGGAACAAATCTGGCTTCAGTTTGTCAATGATCCTGTTTTAATGCAAATTGGGGGTGAGCAGGTTTTGTTTTTCTCTTGTTTGGCCAATTTTTACAACTTACCTTTGGGAGTTATGAGTCTTGATTGCAATGTAATCTTACATTCGCGTCACAAAAAGGAAAAGGTACAGATAATACAGCTAGTGCTGTTGCACAATTAAAGCAATTAAAATGAACCAGTTGGGATGTAATCTTATGCTGGCTGGAGAACACCAAGAATGCTAGGACCTTTTTCTGTCCACACATACACAGAATTGCACCTGAACTTGTTTTATTTTAAACTCGAAACCTCCTTTAGTGACCACAGCTCAGTCGAGCAATTGTGTATGGAATGCTGCTGTAGATCATAAAATTATGCTTTCTAGACATCCACCATTCTGTGGTAATTTCTCTAGCAGTATATCCCTCGCTGGATTATTTATTCTGTCAGCATGTAGCAGCAAGGGCCAGCTTAAGGCATTTTGCTGCCTTAGGGTCAGCAGTAAATGGCATCCCCACCTACCCACCCACACGAATCAAGGCCATTCCAGTAATCCTTTCCCCCCTGGAGTTAACTGTGTTAAAACACAACTGGGCAATGCTCAGAGTGATACGGCTTTTCTGTCTAACCATGCACCCTAAATCTTATGCCACTAGATTGTTTATTGTTCAAGTTATTTGAATGCAGAAAACACAAAAACCATTTCCCTCCCTCCACAGAAATAATAAAAACTAACAATTTGTTGTCAGGAAACTCCAGATCTGCTGCCTGAGAGCCACCTCACCTTGTCTTTCAGTAGGGCCAGCCTTGGTAGTGGCCTATTTGCATTCTTCCTGCTTTATATGGCCCTCTTACTGTACCTGAATAGCTTCTACTTATTTCCGGTGTGTGCTGTGCTCAGCAAAAACGAATGCTTGGTCAAAATGAGTCTATACCCACGCCCCCGCCCCTGGAGTCCTGAAGACCAGCTCTGTGCTAATGATTCGCCTGTGTGCATCTCTCTCTGATGCTGTCAGGAGCCACTTCCTGCGGCTTTGATGACTGTCTTGTTTTTCTCTCCCTCTTCAGTATCGTTTGTTTTATCCAGAATGGCCGCTTGCGGAGGCACCACAAAAAATAGGCTCACAGTAAATAAGCACGTCTGGGACTTCCTGACCAAGGAGAGCCCAGCCAAGCTGGTCAAGCTGAAGGAGGAGAACAAGGTCAGCATCCTGATCGATGGCGAGACCTCTGAGATCTATGTGCTGCAGATCACCATGCCGGCCCACGGGCCAAGCAATGGCCTCTACCTGGCCCGCAAGGCCCTCAAGGCACTGCTCAAGGAGACGGAGAAGGAGCTGAAGAAGGCCCAGCGCCAGAGTGAGCTGATGGGCTGCATGGCCTTGATGGAGAAGAACCGGGAGCACGGGACAGTGGAGCTCCACCGCCGTGGGGCTGCCTTGATCTCTAGGGGGCAGCAGACCTCTGGGCCAAGAGTGGTTGGTGGCAGTGGAGGGATGGCCAGCTGCTCACGGGGAGGCAGCGGTGGTGGAGGTGGGGAGGAGGAGCAGGACAGCCAGTGCCCCATCTGTCTGGGAGAGATCCAGAACATTAAGACTCTGGAAAAATGCAAGCACTCCTTCTGTGAGGACTGCATCACACGGGCCTTGCAGGTCAAGAAAGCCTGCCCCATGTGTGGGCGCTTCTATGGGCAGCTGGTGGGCAACCAGCCGGAGAATGGGCGCATGCTGGTCTCCAAGGACTCAAGCCTGCTGCTCCCTGGTTATGAGAAATACGGCACCATCATAATCCAGTACGTCTTCCCACCTGGCATACAAGGGGTGAGTTGGGTCCATCTCCCTCTCTCTCTCTCTCTCTCTCTCTCTCTCTCTCCCCCCCCCCCTTCTGAAGCTCTGGAGTCTCCAGTGTAGTGGTATCTCTGGGTACCAGGCACCTGCTGGCATTTCTCTTGGTGCACACCAGGCTCCTTGTCCCTTCTGATCTTTAGTTTACTTCTTAAAATGTTTAAGATTAAAATGGTCTGCTGCTGGTGGTAAAAGCTGGTGGGAGGAGGAGAACTGAACTGCTTTTGGAGGGTCAGTACGGATATGGAATGGGGAGATGCAAGCAGGGAGGGGGGGAAATATCACCATATGCCTGCTTGAAATCTAAGCCAATATTATTTTGGATGGTCATTTAAGCCTGACAGTCTACAACAAGGTTGCAAAGGAATCATTTAAAGAAGGCCATTGGTCTCTCACACACACACACACACACACACACACACACACACACACACACACGGTGGGCGAAAAGTAGGTGTACAGTACCGACCAGGTCATGTTTAGTCTCTCAGGCTCGAAATGTCCTCTATCAACATTGCAACATTTTAGGAACCTGTGCCCCAACACTGTGACACAAATCCCAGTTAGCACCAGTGTTGATAACTGCTTGCAAGATGAACATCTTCAATTTGTCCCCTTTGTGAGGTCCTCCATGAACTGATCAGCACTGTATACCTCTGTGTTTGTGTGCGTGTATGTTTATGAGGTTGCCTTAAAACATGCCAAACTTATGCATTCATCTGGCTAGCCTTTCTGTCCAGATGTGTTGGACTACAGTGCCATCACCCCCATTGACTGAACTGGCTGAGAATAATGGGCATTGTAATCTCACCCAATACTTGTGTGATCTATCTGGCAGTGGCTCTCAGTGTGACCCAGTTAGAGAACCTTTCGCATCCTATACTGCTTAGCTCATTTTAACTGGAGAAGGGAGGGGATGAATTGGGAATCTTCTGCATGGAAGTCATGAGCTCTGAGCCCTCCCCAGCATTTGCTATTACTCTGAATCCTGTGTTTCTTATAATTGGTATCTAGGATCTAAAAGCTCTGTAGGAAACATCTCAGTGTAGGACATGATCCAATCAAAACTCAAGCAGAAGAGGGTGTGCCTTGAAATCCTATGCATATTTACTCTGAAGCAAGCCCCACTGTGTTTGTTGAGGCTAACTCCTAAGCAAGTGTGCAAAGGATTGTGGCCTTAGCAGTGAAAGTGCTGATCTTTGACTGGCTCATGCTCATGATATTGGCCCAGAGCCAAGAGGAAACTAGCAGCAAACACCCAAGGTGCCCTGGAAATCAATTGAAAATACCACTTAAAAATCCTTCCTGTGACTCTTCACATGGCCTGATGGACCTAATTTAAATGCCTGCAGACTCCTCCTCCCCCATCCCTTCTTGGGACTCTGCACATGCACACATTCTTGACTTCACCATCAACGCAGATTTCCTGCCTGCCCTGCTTTTTATAAATCTTGCTTGATGAAGAGACCTCAAGCACTCAGAAGAGTGCCCATTTTTCATATTTTTTCTTGGTCTAATAATAGTGCTGTACTAACGTAGGTTTTGGAATCCTAAACATCACGTTAGTGCTTTAAAGGCTACCCAATGCATTTAACCCTGCTGCTCTTTATTGAGGGTAATTTCCATAAAGGATAAAAGGACCAAAAAACAGACAGCAAAGAAAAATAAACTGTCTCTTAGGCAAGGGGTGAGGAAATACCTTTGTGAAATCCAGCTGGAAATGTAATAGGATAAGCATGAAACAGTAAGTCCACATGTTAAGGAGCCCTCGAGGTTTTTTTCCTTCCTGGTTTTGCTTTTGTGGATTCCTCATTTGGGTTACAGTCCAGTGAAGAAACTGGAAAAGAATGCAAAGGGGAACAGGGTGGGCAGGAATAAGACTAGGGTGGAGGAGAAGTCACTCTGAACAGATCGGTCTTCTGCAAGCCAAGTGAGATGTGGTGCAGAGCTGACGGTTCTGTGGTGCTGTTCTCCAGGGAAAACACGGTGGGGCAGGAATGTCTGGGGGCCCCAAGAATGATGTCATACTGTATTCTGTCCCTTATTCTAACTGAAATAAGGAAATACGGGTATCCCTGAGAATATGTCTGAAAACTGATATTGGTACCCATGTGTGGCCCAATTTCAGAGTGGTGACAAGTTTCAGGGACTCTTAATGCTTTACCAGGGTCCACCTTTCTTCAGAGGAGGGACAATGGAGACTTGCAGTATTTCTGTGGTGTAAGGTTTATTTGTAGATACTTCCTGATGGGGATTCGCACCTTGAGCACTCCTAATAGGTTCTTGTTCCATATCAGGTGTCTACAGAAATCCATTGTACACCTGGATTTCCTGCAGGGGACAAAGTCAACTCTGCCTCCTTTTCAGCCCCAGCAGAAGTTGCTGATTTCCAGCTAAACACATGGATATGATCTGCTTTCCTTCTCTGTTATTTATACACAATATTATGGCCAATCATATTTATGTTCGGACAGAAAAAAGTCATATCACTCACAGCATTCCCCAGCCAGCAATGCTAGTAATACAGGGCTTTTTGTGTAAACAGAAAGATGATTCTAGCTTTTATTAATTGAAATAAACAATCAGTTTCTTCCCATCTACCCAGGTAGATGATGGTAGATGGCCTGGAGTGAAAATCTGAGCTCACCTGGAATGGGCCCTGAGGTCTCCTTTACTTGCCTTTTCTTCAGCCTTCTGAATGCTTCCCACAGGGCATTGTTTGTTATTTATTTAATTTCTATACTACTTGTAGCTGAAGCCCTCTGCGTGATTTGCAACAAAGGATAAAAACAGTAAGGACACCGCAGTGGTGGCAATTGGAGAGAGGCCCCAGAACTTGCTCATACTGTCTCAGTCAGATAGAGGTCAGGAGAGGTGTTCCACCAGGTATCATGGTCCTGAGCCATGTCCCAAGCCACGCCAATTAATACTTGATACAACATATTAATTAAAGAGGAAAGAGCAATGATTAATCTTTCTACTAATCAAAGTAATTTTCTTACAGAATTGGTTTGATGTAGGTACATTTCTCTCCATATTTTCTCGATTGCAGCAGATAAACCAGTTGAAAGGGTGCTTGCATCTGCAGAACTTCATGAACATGATGAATACCAGTTTTGTTTGTCAACCAAACCTTGGTCCTTACATTTCAAATTCCTCAAAAGCACTTTGAGGGATGATAGACACAGCACCTGCCCCGAATTGTATTCTTGTAGCAAAGCTATGAAAGCTTTAGACGTTCCCGTTGCTCTCCTGTCATACTGCCTACCTCTCCACCCCAAACAACTGCGTCAGTGTATCAGTCTTTCTCCCTTTTCCGTCAGTGTCTCAGAAATCCCACATTTCTGCTGAGAGGCCTCAGTACAGTCTCCCCTAACCTTTTGGACTGCAACTTACATCATCCCTAACCAGCAAGGCCAATGGGAGGTATGGGCATTGTAGTCCAACACATGGAGGGCACTAGATCGGGAGAAGCCTGTATAAGTCGAAGCAGGATGGTCCAAGCACTCGCCAATGGAGTTGCGGTTTGGGCCGGTGTTTCACTGGGTGCCTTCCTTGGCTTCACAGCCTATATGCGTTGTAATGCACCTGCTTTTCCAGGTTCATGATGGATTCTTCTCACTTTTCTTTGATCCCTTTCTGCAGATGGAGCATCCCAATCCCGGAGTCCGCTACCCAGGCACCACCCGGGTGGCCTACCTTCCTGATTGCCCCGAAGGCAACAAGGTGCTGGCACTGTTCCGCAAGGCCTTTGACCAACGTCTCACCTTCACCATCGGCACCTCCATGACCACCGGCCGGGCCAACGTCATCACCTGGAATGACATCCACCACAAAACCAACTGCACTGGAGGGCCACAGCTGTAAGGACCTGTCGTGGGATGTAGGGAAAGAGGGAAGGCGAGTGGAGGGGATATAAGTTTAGTGAAACTGGGCCACCAAGACTCATCAAGATCCTAGAAGTCTCCCAATAAGTAAGGAAGTGCTCCGTCTGGCCCTGGTAGGGTACTGGTTAGGAATAGCTGCCATGTGTACCTGTAGTACCTCATTGACACTGGTGAACAGTTGATGGAATCGTTCTTTCTCTGGAAAATGAGGCTTATTTTCCCAGGAACACAAACATTTATTTCTTAAAGTGTAATCACTCTGAAACGGGGTGTTCCAGTCCAAGACTCAAATTCCATTTGAGAGAAGCTGCTGGAGGCCACATTTCTGCAGTAGGTGGGACTGGAGACACAATGGACATGGTCCAGAGTAGCAGCATATTAGAGCTTAGCATGCTTCCTGCTGGTGACTAAGCCTTAAGAAAGGCATTTCAGCCTCCTACTAGAGTGTGGCAATTGGGTGGGGAACTGCCCAGAAGCAGTGAAGCCACCAAATCCTTGGAGGAGGGAAATTGGTGGAGTCACCTGGGAACTTGCAGAGGACTGGATTTGGCTCCCAGACGGGTCAGATCTGGCTCTGAGGCGCTACACTCCTGCCATGAGGTGTTGGCGCATTTTAAAATGTTTTTTTAGGTGAGCAGCTGGGCTTTTGTTCTGCATGTAGCAAGGTGCAGGGCAGGGGGAGCTTTTAAACCTGCAGCTCCACAATGATAGCCTAAATACTGGTGAGGGAAGGGTTTTGTTCCAAGGAGCTCAGAGAGGCCAACATGCTTCTCCCCTCCCAATTCATCTTCCCAGCTGCCCAGGAGGTAAGCTTAGAGATAGTGGCCAGGCCAGTAAGTCATGCGGGGGAGCAGGGATCTGAACGTGGGTCTCCCTAGGCCTAATGCAGCACTCAAGCCACAACACTGCCTGGGATCCCATGCTAGATTTCTCTCTATGTCTGTGCTGTGCCTCAGGCTAGCCAAGGCCCTCCCTCAGGGCCTCTGGCCTCTGCAAGCGCTAAGGTCTGACGCCATATGCCTTTCGAGTCTGCTTTCTCAGATGTATCCCAGGACCCAATATTTTTCTGGGAGAAGCGTGAGTGAATTCTCCTGCTGCTGCATTGGACCGTGTGTATTTATTTATTTATTAGATTTCTAACCCACTGCATTAGCCACCCTGGGTAGATTACAACTATAAAAACCAAACAAAAACAATATAACATCACAATCACTAAAAACAACAATAGAACAATAATAAAAATGCACCCTCCAGAACTGCAGATTTCATAAACAACACATCCCCTTCTGTTAAAATACCATTAAAAACCAGTTAATTAAAATACCAGCGGAATAAAAAGGTCTTCGCCTGGCACTAAAGAGTATAAAGATGGCACTAGGCAAACCTCTCTGGGGAGCTCATTCTAAAATAAGGGGGCCACTCTTGAAAAGACCCTTTTTGTAGCCACTCTTTTTACTCTTAACCAACATCTTAAAAAACTCTGGAAGAATATTTCCTAGTATTGCTGGTGAGGAGCTCATCTGCAGCATGCAGGGTTCTGGGGCATGTTTTGAGTTCACTTGGGCCGCACAGGTCATTAGTTGGGCCTGCTGCACCTCACAGTTGATGCATCTATGGCAAGGGAGCACAACCTGGAATGCAGGCAAAACCCTGCTGTGCAAGGCTGGGGGTGCCAGTGGGGAAAATCAGGGGATGTTGGTAGGGCACACTATCATTTGAGGATGTTTGTCTCCTGTTCTTGTGGGACAGGATGTTGCCTGGAATGTGTCTGGAAAATGAGTAGTAGATAATACAGCCACAGGATAGGCTAAGAGGCAGAGGATAAATGCCACTTTGTCTCCATTTCCTCCCAGATTTGGCTATCCTGATCCTACCTACCTTGCTCGAGTGCAAGAGGAACTACGGGCCAAGGGTATCGCCAATGACTGATCCGGCTTCCTGGCTGCCCACATGCCCAGGAATGGCACGTTGTTTCTGCTGAGCCCAGCCATTGTGGAGGGAGCTTCCTTGTGTGTTGGAGCCGTCTGTCTTGCAATGGGACCTTGATCCAGAGTGCAGAGCCTGGGCCCTCAGGCTGGGATGACATTTCCAATGGAACTGCTTGCCTGAAAGAAGGGCATGTGGAAGCAGAGGCATGTGGAAAGCTCTGTGTGTGTGTGTGTGCGTGTGTGAGAGAGGGAGAGGGAGAGAGAGAATGAGAATTAGAGATATGCATTTAAACTGATTGGTTTGAGCTTTTGCACCCAATCTACTCATCATACAGAAAGAGTTGTTAAGCTTGGGGCTGTACCACATCAAAACTGCTTGTGGGGAAGAAGTATAATTTTGAATGATGGACTGTGCTTTTTCCCCCTTTTTTAAAAAAGATAGCAGCTCCTTCATGTGAGAAACAAGAGAGAGGTCCACTAAATCGTTCTCCCTCATTTGCTAGGCTGCTTCATGCAGGGAGGTGTTTTTAGCTTTTGTTCTATATGGGGGAGCATTCAAAAATAAGGCCACCTCCACCTGCAGTCTGAAGAAACACAGTCCAGAATCCTATGTAATAGCAAGTTGGCTCTTGGGGTCAGAAATAGATAAGATGATGGGGGCAGCCATGGGTTGCTTGTTAACATGCCTGTTCCATTCGCATCTCAAGAATGGGGTGGGGTGTTTTTTGACATAAAAAGGGGGATGCCAACTTTCCTCCCCTCCCCATACTCAGGCATCTGTCTCTCAACCAGGGCATCTTCTGAGAACAGAGCCAGGTTGGGAGATGGTGGAGATAAGCTACACATCTTGGGAGGATTCTGTGCCCCTCACCTGGATGCCCCCTTTGATGAAAAAGTTAGGTCCCTCCATTTGTGCTTCTATTGCATGGGCCTCTGTCGGATGGGGATAGGTGAGATTAAAACTGCCAGTCTTTAGGGAAGGCACACGGGACACTGGTGTGAGTGGGAAATCATGTTGTAAAAAACTGGGCAAGGAGTGTTGCCTGAGAGAAATCAGCAACTTGCCTGGGGTTTCTACGGCAGAGGATTTAAAATTGAGGTCTTCTAGCTGAGTGTCCATTTTCTATGACCACAGTGGATCTCTTGAACGTGAGAGTTCATAATCTGCCTATAAGGATGCCAAAAGTAGGCTGAAACCCAACGTGTATCTTTATTCTGTTCTTTGCCCTCTAGCCCTTCTCACAGAGTTCTAAAACACTTTGGGAACTGGACTATTGCAAGCAGAATAAAATCAAGCAAAGCACACTTGCAGAATTGGTATCATTTGGGCACAGAAGGCACAGTGGCAGGTTTTGGCTGAAAGCAGAGTGCAATGGGACAGCTGCATGGATTTCTGTGGGGAACAGTGATGGAATGGGGACAGGAGAGTGAAGCATGTGGCAGCACTTGGACCTTTGTACGCAGTCGTGTCCCTTGTTCTCTGCAACCCTCCATGCTGGTCACTTAAGCTGCCCAGCCATCTGAGAACCTATCCACTCCCGTAAGGCCAATCTCCAGGATCAGCATCAAAACAACTTGGTAGAACTTTCTGGAATTGTTGGACTGTCCCTTGGCATCGGCTAGGCAGGCAGTGGCTTGTTGACTCTGGTCACCAAACAACGCACTCAATCACCTTCTCTGGCAAGGATGGTTGGCGATCCCATGGACCACATCTCGTGTGTATATATACTTACCATGCTGGCATATCAGCTGTCATGTAATTAGTCCAAACAGGTCCCGCTTGGGATAATTTGTGTCATTTGGAACTTAGCCAGGCCTGCCCAAACGTCTTGGCTGGCCTCTGTGCTCCTGATCTTGGCACCCACCTATTGTTGAGTGTTTGGGGGCGGGCGGGGGGCGGGGAAGGGATGTCTCTTGGCTAACTATGTGTGTTGCCTCCAACAGAGATGAATTCTAATATTCGGTTTGTCTCATGCTGGTAAGAGCTCCCCTTGGATGCAGTTTGGACAACGGGGCTTTCTTCACTGTTTTAAAAAGAGTAACTGAAAATATGACTCTTTCTTCTGATCTTTTCGGAAAGTATGTGTGGCAGGGATGTGTGTGTTGGTTGGTTTTTGTTTTAATTTTGATGTGGGTGGGATAGTGGTATCTGGGGATTTCCATGTCGGACTTACAAATCAGTCCATAGAAGTTCTTCACCCACAACAATTTTTATTACTCCCTCGTTATGGTCATGCTTATGGTCATATGGTCATTACATTTATATGCTGCCTTTTGGCCAGTGTACTGAAGATGGCCTGTGATTTAAAATGTTGTCATACCACAGAATGGACACAGTAAACAATGGAAAGGGGAGGGAGATTACTTAATAATGGGAACAGTCATTGAGGAAAGAGTTCTAGGAGAGGCGGAGCTGAACTGCAGTCTAGCCAAGCCAAGCCAATGGAGTAGATCTCTCTTATTTCTGGTCTATCTGCCATTTACCAAAAGGGAAGAACTGCTTCTCTTCAAGATTAAAAAAGTGTTTCTGGATTGGTTACCTGGAGCTGATTCTTCCTTTCCACAGGTGACCAAGTAAGTGGTTATATATAAGCCAGTTTTGAGATAGATACTGTATTTTATTCGACTGAGATTTTGTGGGAGAATTCTTAAAGGTACTGTAGTGCCCTTTCAATCACGGTTCCCTTTTATCTCGGAGCTCTGTTTTTATTTGTGTTGCCTTTCTGCCTAACAGGTCCCCGGTTTGTTTATCTGCACAATAAGAGGCATCTCTTGGAATTGAAGGGACAAGACTTGCTGACACACAACACAGCCAAGACGTGTGTCCAGAATAAAAGGGACCAGCCTGAAGAATTGTGGGCAGGGGGGAATCAAAGGGAAATTTATTCCATCTTTGTTGTTTTGTAGTGTTTGAAAATCTGAGACATCTTGCTTCAGATATTCTTTTCCTTTTAGTCACCATCAAGATTTTTTTTTGCTTTTAAAGAAAACAAATGCATGCAAGGTTACAGTTGTGCACTGACTTTCCTGGGAATATAAGCCTCACTGAACCCAATGGGACTAAATTCTGAATTGACATATACTGTATGATGCCAACCGTACATGCATAAAGCCTCAGTGAAATTTGAGGGACTTACTTCTGAGTTAATGTGCACAAGATTAGGCTCTTTGCCCCATGCAGGGGCAGGAGGAGCAAAACTTTTTTTTAAAGGTTAAAATGATGAAAGTAAATGCAACTCTAAGAATGTTTGTAAGGAAGGGAAAATGTTTGAAAAGGGTTTGTTAGTAGACAAAAAGTTTCAAAAAGCAAACATTCTGAAGTTGGACTACTAGATGTTTGGGATAGGGCTTGGGGCATCTGAAACCGAAACAAAATCTAAACGTCTTAATTATTTGGATACGAGGCACAAGGCTGTTCATTTCCTTTGACTCCCCAAAGAATATATCTGGTGCCATCTGGATTCTTACAAATATTGATATCTTTCCTTTAAAAAACGCCAGCAATCCCAAACTCTACTTTGTACCTATTATGGATGACACAGTTTGAGACAATACCTGCAGCTAACCAGCTGTGCTTTGCTGACTGTGTTAGGGGTGGGCTCCACCTGTGCAGGATTTCTCTTTGACCTGCAGCACTTTGATGTAGTGGCTGCCATAAGTTGCTGTGTTTCTAGGATATTTGAGAGGCTCAGTGCAGGTGGTTCTGCAACAGAGAGCGTGACCTAACCTGACTGGTCCCAGTGGGTGCTTGCTGAAACCCAGACCCTAGTAAAGAACACAGCAGGCTGATAATCATTCTCACTGTTGCAGCTGGGTCATTTAATGACCTGGCTGGGAGTGGGCAATGGAGGAGTGGCTGATGCCCATGTCCTGCTACTTGAGTAGTGAGGCAGGCAACCGAATTTTCTTCTCCCTGCCACCCCAAGTGCCACAACTGCACTTACATGCCTGCTGTTTAGAGCCAAACAAAACAAATACCTATTTACCAAGTGTGTGCAGTTCTGCATTTTAAACTCTAATCACAGCACCATGTCTACAGGAATAAAATAGAGTGTGCTTCTGCTCCTCTGATGCCAAACAGATTCACTTGGGAATAATCGGTTTGTTGTGTTGCGGGGAAGGATCGTATATTTGTAAGTTAAAATAATACAGTCAGCATCTCTCCATGTATATGGTGCCCATTCTGAAATGCTTAAAGATAGAAAATGCTGCAGCAAGCAGCATTAGCCCCGATGGCCCTAGCCTACCCATCTATTCAGAACGGCTGCCAGCCAGTACCCAACACAACCCACCATGACTTAAGTAAGCCACAGTGAGCTGCCGTGATCATGCAAACCTGGTCAGGGAACATTTGCCGCTTCTGCTCTCCCCTGCTGCTCTGGGATGGTTGTTTGGGTGGGGGCTCTGAGCTGTGGGGATCCTGGAGTAGCTGTGTGATGAGGACTTTCCAGTTTGTGAGGGTGAAGGATCAGCAGTGCTGGCAGCAACACAAAGTGGTTATGCCTTTGAGGTATTGTGTTTTTCTCTTTGGTGATTAAGGGCTGGGAGGTGTACAATTCATGCTTTCTTGTTCGAGGATGTCCCAATTCCTGGTGCTGCCTTGCAAATTGAGCAGAAGATGGTTAATTTTTCTTGTGGCAGCACTACCTCAGCAAGCACAAGTTCCTAAACCCTAAACCCATGTTGCTAAGGCCCAATGGATGGGTGCATGGAAGGTGTGTTTCAAGCTATTCTAGGTCTCAGAATCTGGCTGAGAGCAAAGCAGTCTTGGAGATTGGGAAAGCAGAAAACAAGGGAAGGGTTAACCCTCCTCTCTCCCACTTCACCACCTGGTCCCCTCCACATTCAACGAATCAGGAGGCTACTGCTTGCCTTGTAGATGTGGCAGTTCTGTTCTGAAAGGGATTCTCTACCTGCTCTCATGCAAAGACCCATGGGGTAGCTGCCATAATGGTTCCCAGCTGTGTGGACAAGGCGAAAAGGAACAACAATTAAGCTGTCTGCATAGCCACCAAAGGACAGAAACAAAGCTACTAATGTTTAGAAATGCATTTGGCTCAAGAATTCTGCAGTTGACCTTTGGAGGTGCTAGGCTGAAGTTCTCTTACCTTCTGCTTCGCAAGCCCCCAAGGCTGGTTTCTTCAGCCATTGGCCATCAGTGTTTGACCTACAGCCCTTCCTCTTGCACAACAAACAAATCTAATCGCAGTATTTGACCTTTCATGGTATAGAATTCAAGAAGGTGATGTCCTGTGATGTTTAGAATGTGCAAGGCCCTGATGCTGCTCAATCTTGCCTGCTGCATCTTAAGAACTTCACATTGGCCATTTATTAGCATTAGGATTTATGTCAAGGCAAGAACAAGGGGAGACATGCTGACGAGGATTTCCAACTTGGTAAATAGTCCAAGGTCAGACCAGGTAGATTGCATCTTGTATTTTACTGTCCTGAGTGTAGGATTTGCCTGATTCTACACAGGTCAGGGCAAGCACTATAGTGCTGTTCTGTGCTGGATGAATTTCTGTCTTTTGCAGGGGTCTTTCATGACAAGAGCCATTTTGGGGCGGCTCTCAAGGGCTGCATGCCAGTAGGGGATGGCGCTGGAGGCAAAAAGGGCAGGGCTAACAATATTAGCATATCCATTTTACCTTATAGCTATTCCTACTAGTAAAGTAGGCCTTAAGGGAGAGATTCCAACCTTTTAGTGAGGAATGGGAGAAACTGCACAAGAGCTGGGAAATCATCAAAGAACAGGCAAGGGGGACTTGGCCATCTGGGAACCCAGAGGGCTGGGCTGGCTGGTTATGCACCCTTCATCTACAGCACAATCCTATGGATGTTTATTCAGAAGCAAGCTCTGCACCATTCCAAGGAGCACACATCCAAGTAAGTACAAAGAACTGGTGGGTAGGTTGATAACCCTTAAAAACTTACAGAGGAGGCATGATGGAGCCCCATGATTGTTGCTAAACCTGCTCCACTCCTTCAGTCCTTTCTCCCATAACTTGCTCACCATCTTACAGTGACACCCACTGCTCAGCAACATTGAATGATATAACAAAGGATGGGGGGAGTTAGCAGGAGGTGACCTCACAAGGGGTGCTGGGGAAAGGATTTCCTGGGCGGCTGTTGGGCACTGCTACCAGTGGGCCCAGTCTTCCAGATTACAGTCCAGCACTGGAGGCAGCATTCCCGTGGAAGGTGAGAAAGGGAAAATACAAAAAATACCAGCATGTTTTAGCTTAAAGCTTTCTGCTTGTCGTGAAGAGAGATGTTTCAACCTTTTAAAATGAGGGAACATGGCATAAAAGCTAAGAAACCTCCCAAAGAGAGGATAGGATGGATGGGGACGGGGGGCTGGGGCCAACTGGCCAGATTTGGTCCACGGGCCTGAGGTTCAACACTAATGGTCTGATTGGTGCACTGACAATCCAGCAAGTGGTTACTTTAAAGCATTTCCTGAGGAGGTCTGGCTTCCTTTTTCCACTAGGAATATATTGGAAAGATGAAGCTACAACAAATTAGAAGGTCATCATATTTGGGTTAAACAACCCCCAAATTTATAATCCTAGGTCTATTCTGTGAGAGCGGGCCCATTGCTTTGCCAAATCAGACTAAGGTTTGTCTACTCCCATCAGTGTGCTCAGAATCAGGGCAAGTCAGAGATGGCCATAGTATTTTCCCATGTGGGTTCAGACAACACGATAGCTCAATTCAACGGTTGTGGGCCTTGTCATTGACTCAAGGTTTGTTGAAATGTAGGTTATGTCTGAACTCAGCTGCACAACTTGTTGACCATTAAAAACCCATGAACGGAACATATATTTTGTTGCTGAGTTATGGACTGTAGGTTGTTCCCTGTAATGGGTTATCTTAGCTAGGCTCAGATAAGATAAAACTCACATTTTATCAATAGCCCACTGTTCAGTGATAACCCACACCCAATTCTTGAGTATGAGTTATCTGAACCAAGTCATTATCTGCTAACTGCTAGTCTAGTATCCCTGATGTGGAAATCCATAGAAACACAGGGAGTCGGAAGGGGCCTCCCGGGCCGTCTAGTCTGACCCCCAGGTCTAGCTGGCTCCGTTCATGACATACCTACCATGTGCACAACATGCCTACTATGTTCCAGTAGCCAAATATCCTATGAATTTCTGGCTATCATTGCATTCTAAACAAATTAGATGTTCCCACCTAAGCAAATTATGCCTTATGTGATTAAATATTCCCCTTTGTCATGCCTTGGAACTGTTGCATAGGTTATCCCAGCCAAATGTCTGCGGAAACTAATTCAGGGAGGCACTGCTACCCAATGACCTGTGTGGTTTCCACATTGAATTGAGTTTGTCATCCTGTGCACATTTACCTTTGGCTATTTGATGGCCGAGATGTGAAATTAATACAGTTATAATAATAGTTATGGTAACAGCTTATTTCCAAACAACACTGAATAGGATCAGGACACATCAGGATGAGGGAACCATGGCAGTGCTCAGGAATTGCCAAGAACAACTCTGTTGCTGTGATGATGTGGCCTGGCAGCTTCTGGGAGTTTATGGTAAATACTTTGCTCCTCCCCAGAATAACTAGAACAAAAATGACAATTTCCCCCAAGTCTGTCATTGGCTGAGCTCCCTTACTCTTCACAAAAGAATATGGCTGTACTGCAGTGTTTAATTTTTTGCACGAGGACTAGTGCCAGGGTTGTGTTAGGACTGGAATTGTTTGAAATTAAATGGAATAATCTTGAGAATAGGTGCTCTGTGAAAACCAGACTTTTAAAAAATCATTATGCCAAACAGAAGTTTTGCTCTCTATTAGCTTGGAGACAGAGGTTGTACCTCCAGTATGTTTTTGTACCCTTCCAAACCATTATTGATTGGGCTCCTATTTTCTTTTCCAAGGGCAGGAAAATAGGACTCTTGAGGCATGAGGGATTCTGAGCCAAAACCAGCTGTCCTGGCTTCTTGTCAACCTCCCCTTGAGAATACAGCTCAGAAATCAAGCCAGCATGAATGGGTGGGGTAGCACTCTAGACAGTTCACAAAACCATACCCTTTCCTTCACAGCAGATCAGAAATCTGGACTGTCTTCTTCCCATCCCTGCATTTGAGAATCCTGTGGC